CCTCGTTCCTTTGCTGCCTGTGACTGACTCGCCTTCCCCTTCTGCACGACACGTGCAGGGGTTGTACACTTGAGCCTCTTATCTTTTATCTCCCAATAGTCTCAACCATGCCTGTGGCTTCAACTACAGCATCCAGGAAGATGCTTCCCAGTCTACATTTCCATCTCAGTTTCTTCCCTACACGCCATACCCGTGGTTCTAAGTGCCCCAGGCAGCCCCAGCTGAACACGCAGCTGGCCTGTCACACTCAACATCCCTGCAACCAGTTCCCTTGCCCCCTTGTTAGGGAGTCGTCACCTGCTAGTCCCCAGAGCAGAGTTGAAATCTTCCTTAGCTCCTTTCTTTCCCTTGCTCCACCGTCCTACCTTCTGTTTCTGTGGGCTGAGCTGAGTCTCCTCTCTTGCTCCTGTGCTCTTTGTCGGTCCCTAGTGGTACTCACTCTGCCCTGCGGTACGGTTACTTGTGAGCTTACCTAGAATGTAAGCACCATGAGGGCACGTGTCAAATCCTGCTCGTGTCTGTTCCCTTCACAGCCTAACTGTGTGATGTATGTGAATATTGTTGGGGAAATACAGTCCCACCAACACAGAATCCTCTCCACAAGGTGTAGAAAAGAAAGAAAGCGGTTTCATTACTGAACGGCATATCCAGAGCACAACGCTGTAGGCAATCTATGAAAAAGGCACTACAGAGACAGATAAAATTACAACTTATTTGTACAGCGAAGCAGCTACAATCCAGCACCCAGACATACTCTCACGATGAAAGATAACCTGTCAATGCCATCTGCTGTGCACCCTTTCATGGTTCACCCTAAACTCACCTGGCCATCGAGGCAGCCATTTGTTTTCGCTAATTGCTTTTACCCAGCTAATGAAGAGAATAATAAAACTTCTTTTATCAGTCTGACAAGCAAGGGGTCATAGCCTAGAGAGAAGTACCAAGGTTAAATTCTCCTGGACAGAGAAGTGGGAGCGCTCGCCTCCCAGATGTTTACATTCTAGGGGGATGGCTCTTAGATGCTCAAAAAAAATTCTGGTTTGTAAAGATGACAAAAAGCCTTCTTAAGATACACACACACACACACACACACACACACATATACATGGTTCCTATATAGAGATTCTATGTAAATATTTATTTAAAATATATATCATATACACATCAAAAGGTCTTTGGGTAACAGACAAATTTCATTAAAAAATTTACCCTTAAAATTTGTACATACAAAGACACATTCAATAAACATTGTTGAAGTGACATTTATGAGTTAAATTCGGATTGTCACTTCAGTGTTTATTACGTGGGCATGCTTACGTATAAATTCTATCAGTCTATCCTCTGCTAGTGTAGTTTCACTAGTTTTCTGAAACGATTGTGTTAAATTATTTGGCCAACTTCACTGAATCTTTTAGCCATTAAATGTTAATCTATTAATTAGTGCTGACAAAATGCTGCATTTCATAATAATACAAAGCATAGTAATACTGTACTAATAAGTAAATGGAAAAAATCATATTTTTACTTCTTTAAATTTCATTTTATAGGCCTCATAGTATACACTAAAACCATGCATAGCAAGTAGAAATAATAAGACTTTTTTTAAAAAACCTTTGTGTTTTAATGAAGTTGACCAGAGCCCCCCCAAAACCAAAAATTCCACCAAGCTTCTTTTGAATTATAATCTTTGTCGCTAGTAATTAAATGCCAGGCCTCTGAGGAAGATAAATAAATTCCTAAGCTGTGTCACATGAAGGAAAAGGAATTTCTCTGTTAATTATTTTTTATTGACACCAGGAGTCTAAGCACCCCAAGACAGTTCAGAAAAATTTAGAATATGATTAACAAAAGGCAACAGGTAGCAACTACTTTGGAATCAGAAAAATAGCCTAGTTTACAAAAAGTCCATTACTTAACAGAGTACTGTAAGTAAATACACTGTTACAATAAATCTAACCTCTTGTTTTCTAAAATTATGAAACACCTACATGCAAAATATCACAAAATCCGGAGATATAAACATAGTTCTGCTACCACGGATCTAATTCCCAAACTGAAAACCCAACAGCGCACAGCAGAGCTCTCCAAAGCAATGCTTTTCTATTGAAGAAAAGAGCAAATGATATTTAAGGAGCTCTTTCCTTGAACAGAATGATACAAGACCATCTTAGCAATCTCTCTGCCTATAACCTAGCATTTAAAAGGCCAACTCTTCAGTAACAACTTTAACACTTACTGCATTCTTAATAAGCTTGGTGTGTCTTTTACTGGTGTTTTCACTGTGCAACCAGTGCTCAGCTTTACCATATTGAAAATCGAACATTTGTGACAGTCAACTGTAAAGGATTCCAGCAGGAATAGCAGCCCATGTGGTGGGTCTGGCTGGATTAATAAAGAACAAGAAAGAGGCCTTATGTGGGGGCTGGGGGATCTGTAAATAAGCAGGAAACAATCAGTTTGAAAAGGGAGAGTTCAAAGGAGAATTTCTATACCAGATACTGTACAAAGTCACACGCCCTTTGCCCCTGTCACTGGCGATGGCGCTGAGGTCTCCAGGTGGAGAACCAGGTGAAGAGGAGACAGGGTGGATGGCGGGGGGCCAGGCAGCAGCACACAGCGGTGAGTCCTTCTCACTCCCCTCCACCACCCACCAAATCTGTAGTCCACGTTGTGCTAATCATACATCCGCTGGATTAACAGACTTCTATTTTTAAATGCAAACGCATCCTGGTAGGAAAAAGTCTAACGCATACTCTAGTCGCAGGTATTTATTTAGAATACACAAACACCTTCCACAGACTGAGCCCTGGGAACAATGATGAGGCATATTTATTAATGAAATCTACTTCAGTTTTATTTAGCAAACATATCTAGGTCTTACCACGTGCTAGGCTCTGCTCTAACCATTTTACAAGTATGAACAAGGGAACAGGATATGGTCCCACCTGCTCTTGGCCAAATGGCTGCTTCCAGGCATCTTTTCGTCAAGGGAGGGAAGGCCACTCACAGACAGACGTGGCCCTGCTCTGCCCTGACCCTGTCTGATGAGGAGGAGTGGCGTTTCCACAGGCGTTAGAAGGCGTTGCAAATGCCGTCCAGTTACATACGCACACGCCCCCCGCCCATCCTGCACTTCTCCTGTGCTACTTTCAAAAATTGCTTGAGGCAGGGCACTTACATTGTTTTGCTACAAAGTACAGTCATAACATAAAACGTACTTCTTGAATTACAAAAAAAAGAAGTAATTTTTCTGTATTGTCCACTATACACCAATCGTTCACCAACAAGATATCAACGTCTGGAAACTCTAAAAGAAACCTGATGTTACCTTTAATGATTGTCTCTTAGTCACATAATTCTCAGACTGAAGCAACTTCTCATAGTCTTCAAAGATCTAATGAAAAGAAAGTAAGTATTAGCGTGTAAACCCAGCAGTGATTTCACTGCTCTAAGAGCTTGCGCGCTTGCTTCAGAATTCTCAGGTCAGCGATCTGGTCAGCGACGGGGGCCCAGCATCCGTGAAGCCACCACACACACACAGAGGGGCTACAGGCACAAGACACATTCAGGTAAACAAGGGCTAAAGACAGTGAGGTTACGGTCTCTCCAACTGCTGCTGATTACCCTTGAATGCAATTGGCACAACACATTTATCTCACTCCTTCTATAGAAAAGGCCAGAAGTTTCTACTGCAGGTTTTGTCATAAGCTATCTTAGCCTTCTTTATTTTCATTTATTATAAATATAGCATCTAATGAGTCTTTATCGATCCATCCAGCATCAATATTACTGAACAACCAAACTATAATAACCGTTCATTTCCTAAATTCAAAAATATGTGATTTTCTTTTAGTCTTGAAGCTTTTGGATACCTCTGGCAATACATTTTTTCTCCCTTCATGTTCTATACTTTGATCAAGGTATTCAGGTGATCTCATGGGTATTTTCTTGATAACTTCAGGATATGAAAATCACTTGATTTTACAATTATATTGATAATTCTTAATCTCAAATCAAAAGAAGATCAGCAAACAATTTATGAATAAAAACGCCACAGTTTAATTTCTGTGATTTGGATGTGTGAAGACACAGGACACTGCTAGGCAGGGTCTGCCCTGTCTTCCCAGAGTCATCTGTTTCCTTTTATCTTTGTGTGTGGCTAACTAGAAAATGTTGAAGTATGTAGTGGCTTGCATTGTATTTCCACTGGACAGCACTGGTCTAGAGCAGCTACACTAATACTGGAACAAACGTTACAAAGTTTGGCTTCGAGGTTTGTGCTGTTTTCTGCTTTATGCTGTTTCTACTTTATGTTTCTACTTTATACATTTAGCTAAAGCACAGCAGCTCTTGGATGGATCTGTTCATTCAGTGTTCTTTGAACACCACCAAATGTGTGGCACTGAATTAAGCAGGGATACAAGTAATAATGATAAAAATTAATACTGAGTGCTTACCATGGTACTATCCTAAAAACTTTAAATCTTGTCAAATTCCTACAACAACCCTATGAAGTTGGTATTATCAATATTGTCATTTTTCGGTAAGTGCAGTAACTTGTCCAGGGTCACATAATTGGTAGGAGGCAGGGCAGGACCCTGAAGCGAAGCAAGTAGACACTAAAATCTGTACTGTATTCTGAACCCCTGTGCTAGATAAGGTTCCTGCCCCTCAAGGAGCTTAAGAACCAGTCAGGAAGATAATAATACAATGTGAAAAATGTGTGGGAGAGAAGAGAGCGAGGGAGCGGGGAGAGAGAGAGAGAAAGAGAGTGAGTTAGTGTGCGTGTGTGCGTGTATGCGTGTGTGTTCAGGGGTGGGGGACTAGGGAAAGCTTCCCAGAAGAGTCACACTGTGAACCCCAGCAGGACCCTGAGGGGCCTTCCCAGGGACACACCCCCCCGAGTCCCCCACCTCTTGTTTGTAGAAAAGCTTTAGCTTCTTAGGCTTCCCCCAAGTTTCAAAGAGCAAATTTAATCAGAGAAGTGAGAAAAAGCAGAAGCAAAGGAAAACAGTCAAGCAAGACAAAGTAATAGTTTAACCATAAAACAACGTCAAGGACCTTTAGTTCCTCCTGAAGGTCTAGAGGTAATATCCTGAGCCATACCCTTGAGTTGTTCTGCAGACACTAAAACCCCCACCAGGTGGGAGGAGTTAACTGCACACTGACAAGCAGAAGCACACAGACCGCAGACTGGCTGGAACCAAAAGGTGGATGATGTTAACCCCTGAAATACCACCCTGTCACATCCACCAACCAATCAGGAGTCCACAAGCTGATCAGGCACCCCCACAACCCTTATCTTTAATGTCGCCTTTAAAAATCCTTCCCTGAAAACCACTGGGGATTCGGGCCTTTTGAGCATTAGCTGCCCCACACTCCTTGCTGAGCCCTGCAATAAACTGAAGTTTCCTTCACCACAATCGGTGTCAGTAGATTGGCTTTGCTGCATGTTGCGCGAGTGGACCCACGTTTGGTTCAGTAACAGTTATGGCTGAGTATCAAAAGGATGAGTTGGAGTCACCCTTAGAGAAGGGAGCTGGAAGACAGATATGTATTTTGATATTCCTATTAGTAAATAAAACTACTTAGTGACCATGTAAAATAATTCACTTTAGTAAGGGTGGGGTGAGCTTCCATTTGGGGTTACCTATGGCCTCTCAAGGGCAACATGGATGCTCTTAAGTCAGGATCGGAGTGAGCAGGTGCTAGTTGCTTCCTGGAGCACCAGAGCACAATAGCAGGAAGAGATGTGAAAACAAGAAAGCCTTCATCTCCTGCCATCCTCTGTCTTCCTTAAAGTTTCCTGATGACCTGGTTTCCAGGTAATAAAAAAACTGAGCCTATGGTTGGTTTCAATTGTGTTTCATAAACAGGATTAAGTGCTCATAGATCTAAGAGGGAGGGAGAGGAAGCAAGAAAGAATGAGATGAAGACTTAAAAATGACTTGTACTCACAGTGTCATAATTTTGTTCTAAGAAGTCTGCTACCAAAACTTTATGTCTGGTTAGTAAATCCTAGAAAAAGAACAGTCAAGTGAATAAACATTACTGTAGCTAATAAACTTTACAAATCTTTTTTTCCTTCTGAGATTTTATAAGTTCATCAATTTGAAACATGAACATTTCAAAAGAATATTTGCATTTACATCACAAAATTATTTCCATTTTTAGTTTAACGTGTAAAATAACAATTTGTTTCATGTTAAAACAACCGAGTGCTTTCAATTCATATCGTTATATTATAGAAATAATTTAACTAGTGAAACAAATGTCACCTAAGAGACAAGTTTATAGTATATTTCTTCAAGCCATAATTCTATATTGTGTATATGAGATAATAAATATTCAAATAAAGTTTATGATGCTGTTTTAAAAATGTCATTAATAACCACTTTTTAAAAAGGAATGGTCTAAAACCATATCTCACAAGTTAACAGATTTTCAATGATTAACCTTTAGTTTTTTTCCTTAATCGCCTTTAAAAGAGATGTGCCTAGGATGCTGGGAAGCACAAGATGACATTAAACTGTGCCATCTCAGCACTGTCCTGCTCTTGGGTTGATGGGCTATGAAGTGTCGTGCAGTTACTAAGTAGCACAATGTGCCCTTTCAAAGTTGAATACAAGTAGCCTGATCTAATTACAGACATAACTCTCAGAAAACTGAACAAAAAAAGCATAAAGGAACATTGGCCTCTCAACTCACAACTCAATTATATCCTTAATTCACCTTGACGTTGAAAGAAAGCAAGCCTCAGCTAATCCTTTTTATATGCTTAAAGGCTAAATACCCTGTTCCAGGTACCATGCAGAATTTAATTAAAAACCTAACAAGAATGTTAAAGTTTTCCAAAATAAATTCTTATACTTTAATACATATTTAATTAAACCTTCCTAAAAGCATATATAGAAGACACAGAACATTACCTCACAGAGAAAAAGAAGGCAGCAATGGTAAAATCCACCTAACTTCCCTTTCAATAAAAATTTAAATATTTAAAGCATTTTGCATTGCAATTTTCAAGTTCACAAATAATGGGACTGGCTATTCATTTCATTTCCTATTACTTATTATTACAACTTGATTGACCAGTGAGTCTCTCAATGGAAACATGGTACTTTTTTCCCTACTAGAACATCAAGTACTGTCCCGGAACTGGAATTTTAAAACAGAAAAACCCTCTAATGAATTCATTTTTGGTCTGTCCTAGGTCAAAATTCAAACTAGTTCCTATATCAGGGGATCCCTGAGAGAGTAAGGTAGTTCCACAGCATCCTTGGAGGTCCCTAATCTTTTTTAAGTGGATATTTAAGATGCCTAGTTTTCAGATATTCTCTTCCCCAATCTCCTGAGCAGTATCAGTGATTTTCTGAGCTGACCCAGGTTAGAAAGAGGCTCTCTCCATGGGCTGCGGCAGACACTGGATTGCTGCACCCGTGGAGTTCTGCACTGTTAGGACAGTCGTCAGCCTTGAGTGCGAGGACTGCAGCCTCCCATGGCCTCAGGCCCTGCACCTGCAGCGATGGCAGCAATGGAAAGAGCACGTTGCAGATGAGTGCTGCCTGGAAAGACTTTCCTTGCACTGTACATTAGTGGTACAGCAAAGAAAGAGGAATAAGGAGGGAGTTCTGTTAGTAGCAGCTCCTTCCAATCCTAACGGGAAAAATAACTAAAATCCAGTAATAGAAAATACAACATGGTAGGGTAGAATTCCTCCAGCACATGTGTATGATGATACAGCCAGTAAGTGATTTGTGCACACACTCTTACACTTGAGTGTGTATACATTACATACACATGGATATACCCTCAAATTTATATACAAAATAAATGTATGCACAAAACTGGAGGGATTATACATATATATATACACATAACACGCATGCATATATACACACAACCATAGACAAACACAGTTGTTGCATTATTATAGATCAAATAACTGAGTGGGGAAAAACTATCTAGGATTCCACCTAAAAAAGAAAAAGCAGAAAATTGCAAAGAAAAATAACGTTCAAATTTTAAAGCATTTAAAAATTTTAAAAAATTATTTGAAATAGTGTACTCTTTCATCCCACCTCCAAACAATTTTGTTTTGATAGACCTAGGTTCTAACAGTCTAAGTATTATACTAAAAAAAATCTGATATTGATATTCTAGTGAATTCTAACAGCCTGGGAGAACTCGGGGTATAAACTGACAGAGACACACTCAGTGGCAGGGACATGACACTCCATCAGCCAGCAGCAGCTGCGTTTGCTGAGGGTTTACCACGTGCTGGACAGTGTATGGAGCACCTTACATATGTTATTTCTAATCTTCACAACTCTTCAAAAATGGGGATGATTTTCCTCACCTCACAGGTGAAGAAAATGAAACTCAAATGTTAACCAACTTGCTCAAGGACATACAGCTCATCAGGTGCAGAGAGAGATGGAATTCAAACCACTTATGTCAATTCTTGGAGGGAGGAAAGAAACTGTGCTTGTAAGGAATCCTTTTAGGGAAGGGACAATTTGTAGACAATACCATGACAAAAAAACCAGCAATGTTAAAATATTAATGATTAAACTGGGCAACAGTCAACATGCAGCTCAAAACAAAAAGGTTAAGTCTAAGAGGTTAAAAACAAAAGCCAAAACTGAAATAAAACCAACCAACCAAACAAATCTCCTTGAAACCAGCTACTTAAAAAAAACAAAACAAGTGACTTATGGTCATTACATTAATCATAGCATTTTGGTAAAGTGTAGAAAACTGGCATTTTCAATATCAGCTTACTAAGAAACTTCTTATGGTTATTTAGATTTTCAAGGACTTAAGTTCAATGGAAAATACGCTCAAATACAAATCAAAACATTATTATTTTTGTGATTCAATACTGTGCTGAAAATTGAATTGGGCCAAACATGAGAGACATTATCATCAAGTATAGTTAATCCTATTAAACGCTGAAAAAAATCTTTCGGGAAATTTTCAAAAATACTTATTTGCATTTGCTTCTCCCCTCCATTAGAGTTGTTCTATGTTTACAGTTATTTGTGAAGTCTTATTTACGGCTTTTTAAAAAAGGAATTAGTTTCCATGACAGCAGAGTCATCTGATAGAAAAGGGGGGAAAATGGGACACAGTATCTATTAATAGAAAACGTCTCCTTAGTTGTTTAGGGACAGATATTTGCCAGAAAGAAATGGTACCATCCTCAGTGTTAAATGTCATTCTTCTTATTTGATGCACCAACGCCCCTCCTACATGTGCTCTAGATTTACTCTTGGGGGTCATCTGTAGCCACTGTACAACTGTTGTTCTGCCACCGTGTGATCTAAATACCTTTTAATAGATTTAAGGAAACTTCTCAGAACAGGACCAGTAAATTCCTTGTCTACATATAATATGTAGCTTTGGGCACAAAAAACAACTGCTTTCACCTTTCTCCACTGCTGGAGAGCTGTTACAAAGGACTATTTATCATCTAGGTCAGAGGCAACTTTCAAAGCATGCACATAAGGTATATTTTAATATTCGTATATGAACTATGTCAATGTTATTGAAATATGTATTTAAAATAATGTATAAAAATAAAATGTCACACAAGGATTATAATTAAGTAAAAATTTACATTTATATCCTGAAAGAAAGAATATGTAAATTTGGAATTATGTAACTAGAACAAATAAATTGCTAAAATGCCTTTAAAGAAATGAATTTGCATATATACATTTAAATGAGTCTTATCTGTTTTATAATTAATTTGAAAACCTATTTTTTTCAATGATGCTATTACAACATCAGCTTAAAGTATTGTTGGAATTCCTCTTCTAAAATGGCCTCCAGAGTCAATTTGGAGACACTAAAGAAAATCACTCTGTTTTAGTCATTTTGAAATTTATTTTTATTATCATTATAATTATTATCACCAAAACCCAAAACAGTTCTAACTTCCTTCATCACTCACTTTATCCACTAACCGGGATGTCAAATAGCTTTTTGCTGTTTCTAACACTTTGATCTGCTCTTGCAGGATAAAGATTTGCCATTACTGAAAAATGAACATGCTATAGACACTGATACTGATTTCAAAATATATTAAATAATAGCAGAAGCATAAGAATAAGTAAATGGTTTTCTGAAATAGAAATTTTGAATGTGTCATGATTTACTGGATGTACAAGTTCTAGTATTTCAGTTTGCAAATTAGCTACACTATTTCTAATACGCTCTTTGATCTTCTTTTGGATGGTCAGACTCAGAAACAGAAAGGAGAATGGTGGTTGCCAGGGGCTGGAGGGCTTGGGAAATGGAGTTGTTGTTTAATAAGTATAAAGATAACAGTTCCAGTTTTGCAAGATAAAAAAATTCTCCAGATTGGATGCACAACAATATGAATATACTTAACACTACTGAACTGCACATTAAAAATTAACCATCATAAATTCTGTGGTATATGTATTTTAATAGTTTTTAAAATTTTAATAAAAATTAAGTTAGATTAAATTTATTTCCTATATAACACAGTAGGTAATAAGCTTATAAAAATATAGGTGATTATATATTAGTATTTTGTTTCACCATATGGGAATTTAAAATTACACTGATAAAATAATGTGATTCCTTCATACCCAAAGATGTAGCTGTCCATCTCCCTTCCCAGGGCCTTTCCTTGGAGTAACCACTGTTACTGTTTCCCAGATACCCTTCCAGAGGATTCCGTGCATGTACACTTTAAGTGGCAGCTTACACCCTTTGCTTTTAGCATAAATGAAAGCACACTATACACAGAGTACTGCAAATTCCTCTTTCACTTATATATTGGAATTCACTTCATATGAACTTATGACAAGCATTCTGAGTTGCTTTTTTCGTAATGTGAAAATGGGTCTAACAGACTGCGTTCTATTTACTGAGTCCTCCTATGATCCACATCGTACACAGTTGGCTATGCTCAGGCCTAAGGAATATAATTTTCTGGTTTTTAAAATTAAACTGCCTCTTCAGAGGCCAAATGACTAAATGCTGAAACTAAATGACCCAGCTGATTAAGAAAAAAATTACCTTAAAAGTAGCAAAGGCATCTGAAGCAATATCAAACGTTGACAACTCCACATACTTAAAGAAATCTCTGAACTGATTAGAAAAGAGGATGATTTTGGCAAGTGGTTCATGTCGAATACATTCTCTCAGCATAATCCCACAACGTAAGGCAATCTGTGGGGCTTCATATCTAAAGCAGAAACGAGACAGAAATAGAGAATTATGTTATCCTATTAACAAAATAATATTAATGGAATCAAAAGAACCATTTCAATACTGCTGTTAATAAAAACTCAGATACCATTTGTCACAGTTCATTCAAACACCATTCATTCAATACCCAAGGAATATTTACAAAGTGCCTGGCACTACTCCAGGTGCTGGGGATACAGCAGTAAGCAGACAAGGTCACTGCCTTCCTAGCATTCACATTTTAGTAAGAACGCGTCTGGAGGGGGAGGAAACGGCCTATGAACAATGAGAAGATAATTTCATATACTTCAGTGCTATGAAACTGAAGACACTAAAATGGGCACACTATAGAGTGTGACTACTTAATTTGCTTTACTTTAGACTGAGTGGTCAGGGAAGGGGCAAGGTGCTCCAGGCAAAGAGACTAACTGTGCAAAGGCTCCAAGGAAAGAACCAGCAGCTCTGTAAGCCAAAGGTATTTAACAGAATTCATTAAACTAGGGTGATATTTATTCATTTTTGTTCCATTTTTATGTTTAATAATATTCACAAGTATCATCTGAATATTCCCTGAAAAATTCATATTAACATTAAATGCTAATGCGTTCAGATGGGCATGGGCCATTTCCATATTGCCACCAGAACTCATCATGTCTAGTCATTGAGTGGTTCCATGTTGCCTGTAGAACAACCTTCAGACTCCTTAGTAGGACATGAAAAGACTTCATAACCTGGTATTAGCCTTTCCAGCTTTATCCCCATCCCTACTTTCCATTCATACTAGGCTCCAATTGAATCAGAATCCTTGTCATCCTCCAAACATATTGTGCATTTTGATGCCTCTGTGCCTTTGCATGGAAGGTACCTAATCTTTCTATTCTCTGCGCCCATTTGGCAATTTTCTACTCTAAGACCTGCTTCATTTTTGACATCCCAAGCAGAGATCATGGCTTCATCTGTGCTCCCATAGGTAAAAAAACAAGTTGTAATGAGTTACCTCTTCTCACTGAAGACTGCTTGAAGACTCAGTTGTTCTGAGAGTGCAGATTCTGGAGCCACACCACTAGAGTTTAAAGCATACTAGCTATGTGACTTTGGATAAGTTACTTAACCTCTCTGGGTTGTAATATCCTCATTGATAAAATGGGTATAATAACAACAAAAACAACAACAATAACCATAACTACCCATAGGACTGTTATAAAAATACAAGGCAGGACCTGACATGTAGTAAGTACTATGTTACCTACTACTATTACTATTACTTACTATTATTAGTGCTATTATTATTACTATTATTATTGAAGACCCTAATAAATGAAGTAATTAGCAGCTTCAGTCTTACAAACTAAACTAATGATTAACTTTTTAGAAAAAATGGAAAGATTTTATAAAACTTTCCTGATGAATCAGATTTGAGGGAGTTATGCTTAAAATAAACAATCCCTATTTTTCTATTGTGCACTATAATTACGTGGAAATGGAGTCTTAGAAATCTATACGTTAAGAAAGTAGCATTTTAAGTAAATGATTCAAAATTATTTTTTCCACATATCGGAAAATACATAAAAACTAAGTTTTTTCTTAAATACAGAAAAAATGATATATAATTATTACAAATCACCCATTAAAACAGGATTACTTGTAAATATAGGTGATGAATGAATAGAAGAGTTCATATTTCAAATATAAGGAAAATTTCTACTTACATCAGCTTAATAGTTTGTTCAGAAATTGAATAATCTGTTGCATCAAATAATTTGTCAAAGAATAGTAGCCACTTGAATTCATCATAAAATTCACCACCAAAAAGGACAGAGACACATTTTCAAATAATTAAAGATATAATAAAGATATATAAAGATATACTGATTATTCATACTCAGTAAACTTTACATGTAATCATAATTTTAAAAAAAAACCATGGCCTCACATGTTTTACAGAATCACAAACATAATCCAGCAGTAAAAATTTATTAAAAGAGATTCCAATCTTTATCATGTGTCTCTCAAAGTTATCATTTTGTAACTTACACCACTTCTCAAACTCTGTTCCCTCTTCTAATTCGCTCTGCAGCTACTTTAAAGTCTCCACTATGAAACCTCCCAAACCCTCTCCTGATATTGGTGGGTTTTCTCCCTCTGATCCCTTTCTCCTCACCTCTAAGTCCTGTTTGTGCAAGTGGACATAACCTCCTAGCTTAGTCTAGTTTCCTTGCCTGGCTTCCCATCACCAGGTTTTTTTCTCAACTCTCTCTACTGAAAGAGGGGGAGGCGGTGAGAGAAACAGAGGGGACAACTACACACTAATGAATCCTGTGCACATCACAAGTAATAAAGGCTCACTATAGATCTGTAATTTGTTCCAGCAGTTAAATTATTAATGAATAATAATTAGAATTAGTTGCTTCTGTTCTATCTCATTATTTCTAGAAAGGGAAGATAAAGTTGTTTTCCTCAGTATAAGTTGTAATTCTTCACTAAGTTAATTTAAAAAATAAATATCCCATTATGCTAAATGTTCACATCTTCCACAAAGCATATAGAAGGTATAAACGTATATACGTATATTATACCATACACAAAAGGAATGAAATTACTTTAAAATTACCCTACAACCATACTTTGTAACTTATTGGATGGCTTTTCTGCTTCATTAATCTGAATTCTTGAAGCTTAACAGCAATAAGTTCCTTGGGAAGAAGACACTAAATCCATGTCTTTAGCAGAGCCACTCGTATCTGATGCAGTTCTTTGCACAAAATAAATACAAGACAGTTGCCATCACCCGACTGTTATTCAGTGACAGCAGCTCCAGGAAGGAGATCGTCCAGACCAATCATTGCCACTCCAGGAATGAAGCATGTGGAGTTGCTTGCACCCCTTCACACAGTGACCCCACAGTGAAAGATAGTTTCAGACTGTCCACACCACCATTCTTCTGCATCAGCTGACATGATCCCCACTATATTTTTAGGACAAGACAGTTCAGCATTCTCAAGGGATCATTTATTTACAAACTAACTTCAAATGACTATTAGTTTATCTTCACTTCCTGAAATACAAATCTGATATTCTTCTTTTCCCAAAACTCTCCAATGGCTCCCCATTTCCTACAGGAAAATGCCAAATGCTTTAGCTTAACATTTCAGAATCTCTAGAAGCAGGTACAAATTGGTCATTTCAGCCTTATCTACCAATGACCAGCTATGCAGATCACATCCTATTAAATCTTGTAGATCTATCTGAGCTGGAAAAGAGCACTTTCCTTTATAATATTATTCTGACACTTATGCATCTATGAGCACCACGTGCTTGGTGCTATGCTCTGCAAGAACTATCTCACTGAAGACTCATAACGACCTGCTTAAATGAAGTAGGTATTGTTATCGTCTTCATATTGCAGTGAGGAAACCAGGACTTAAGGAAGTAAGGTAACTTGCCCAAGGTCTTAGCAAGTAAACAGCAGAACTCTAAAAACACAGGTCGGTCTGACAATGCATAGTCAATGGCATTTAACACAACATTATTTTAGTGCAAAGGTAATATCACAAATTTTACTCTTATTTAACAATAAGGAAACTGAAGCTTAGAAAGGTGCAGTGACTTGCCCAAGGTCACAGCCAAGAAGTGCAAGAGACCAGAAAAAGCAATAATCAGACAACAAAACAAAAGTTATTATAAATTAAAAATAGCATTACTGAAAGGAAAATTTGTAGAGTTTATCTTCAATAGAAGATAAAATTAAGAACATCTTCTGACAAGTAAAACAAAAAGACCCAGAAATGGAAAACAGAAGAGATAAGAAATCAATCCCAGAGATTTATCTTTGATTAACAGGAGATCTAGAAAGTGAGAACAGAGAAAACAAAAGGGAATAAATCTTCAAAGAAATAAAATGTGACAGAGAATGTTAGCTGTCCACTGAAATCCATTCTTCAATTCTTGGGCACTAGACTACATTTCTCAGGTTCCCTTAAGAATTCAGGGGCCAAGTGACTAAGTGCTCTCAAACGGAATGTGAGTAGGAGTAATGTGAGCCATTTCCAGGCCTGGCTCATAAATTCTCCCATGTATTTTTGCCTTCCTGTGGGCTGAAATGGCAATCAACAAAGTGATCTTAGGAACCACATGTTGAAGGAAACCCTGCTGACCCAGAACATCTGCTCTGCTCCGTTATGTGACAGATAAACTTATCCTGTAGTTGGATCACTCTATTTTGGGGTCTATTTGGTATAAAGCTTAAGTTTTGTTAGAAACCCTAACTAATACATGACACACATATATTTCCCTTTCCAGAATCAAAAGACTTTAATCCTCCAGTAAAAACAATATTTTGCACAAAAAACAAAGTAATCGTAGTATACTACTTTGTTCAACAATGAATAAATATTTCATAGCTATATAATACGAATGTGAGATTTTAATAAGATAAAAAATTGTAATAAAGTACATTGGGAGGGTGAGGGGAAAAAATGGAGTAACAGTGATGGTGGAGAAATTAAACTGTCAACTAGTCTATGAGAAAGTTAAAAGATTTTTTTTAATTGGTAAATCAAAAGATTAGTAAAAGCCCATTATTTGTAATATAGAGGTAAACACCAGATGAAGAAGTAAAAAAGATGCAAGTGGTTCACTTTGGGCAGTGGGACTGAGGACTGGAGAAGAAGGGGCAAAGAGCTGCTGTTTGTTGATATATCTGATTTTTAAACTATTGGTATGCGTTATTCTGATATGGTTAAATGTTTAAAATGTACAAGAAAAGATTTGGGAATTAAACACAGATTAGATGGACTAGGTATGCAACAGCATGCTAGGTTCAAGATGGTAGAGCAGACAGGTAGGGAAGGGGAAGCAAAAGATAGTCTGCTATCCCCAAGCCTTGCTACACCCAGATTTCTGGTCTTAGGAGTTAGGGTAGCCTCAAAATGCTCACGAAACATTCATAAATGAGTACACACGAAAAGTAATAATCGGGGATTCTATTATCTGTTATCTGACTAGACTTTAGTTTTTTGGCTGCCCTATGGTCCCATATACATACACGTGGAAGCATGTCATCTTAGTAGATGCTAGCCATGGGAAGAATAGTGTGTGTGTGTGTGTGTGTGTGTGTGTGTGTGTGTAATGAGGGGATTCAGTCTTATGTAAAAAGGATAAATGAGCAGCCAGGAAAAGGGCAGATTGGGAAACACAGGCAATAATGTAATAGGAATAGGTAACAGGGAAGTGGAGGAAAGAGAGGCAGTGAAGAAGGAACTTTATTTAAAGGATTTTGCTGCAGCCTAAGTAATCACAGAGACATAGACCTGGAGGGCTGACTTCAAGTATGGCAAATACATTTATTGTGATTCCAAAAGGGAAGTGATTGTATCTCAAGTGAATCTAATGCTATATACTTTTAACGACGTTTTAAAACTCAGACCCACTTTAAAGGAAACTGTGCACCTACCCTTTGAGGAGCATAAACAGGACATGAGGATGAGCACTGATGTACTCCACAGTAGGACTCCGAGTGCCTATCTGTCTTCTCAGGATGTTGTTAAAGATGTGGGTTACATCTTTTTTTCCCTGTAAAAGAAATAAACTTTGTTGTATGCTTTAAATGGGTGAATTGTATGGCATGCAAATTATTATCTCAAAAGCTGTTTATATACATACACACACATTCAGAAACAGCACCATCCTTTATAATATGCAAAAACATTAATTTATCTTTTCATATGTCTTTAATCAGCTGTACTTTCAAATATTCAAACACAGAGTGTACAAAATTGATGCAGCTCCCTTCCATAGCATTTGCACTGTAAGAAGTTTGAACAAATAGAAGTCTATTTCTCACAGTAGGAAATGAAATGGCACAGAAGAATATAAAATAGTAAGAAATATGATACAGCTAAATTCTTTGGTTTTTTTACCTCTTAGCTTAGTCAAGAAGAAAATCATTAACATTTTTAAAACCTTCATAAGTAAGGAGGGAAAATATAGGAAGAAAATAAAGACTTTAGCAAATGCAGGTTTGAATTTAATTCCTTTTCCTTAGATACACTTGATGGTTATTTTCCCCTTCCACTTTATCCATTCCCCTTCCATTTTGATGCATTAAAAAAAAAAAGAACATGAGTTTTCTATTAGTAAGTATATTTGACTTTAAGTGATGATAAGAAATCATATCTAACTTAGATGAATTGAAGACACCACTCAGTCCCAGTAGCCTGAGCCAGAGGAACTGTAGCCCATCTTGGGCAGGGCTTCTTAGTGTCCTCACATACAAGACCTTCCACTCTTACACACCCTACAACCTGAGACTAGCCTGTTCCTCCAGCTGGAGCTCCAGATTTTCCATTCTCAGTTACTGTGGCCCTGATCCTGGCCTTCATCTCACAACTGAACTATTGAAGGGTGCCTTCCAGTTATGCCCTCCACCTCAAAGCATCCTTCACTCTGCAGAGTGAGCTACCCAGAAATGTAAATACAACCAGATGATTCTCTTCTCTTAAGCTCTTCAACAACTCCCTTTGCTTAGAAAAAAAGCCTAGTGCTTTCCATGACCTGGTCTTGCTTACCTCTCCAGCCACTTCTCACTTTCCAATTCCGACCTCAAGTTCTATTAATACCAAACTGCTGTAGGACCTACACTTACACATGCTTATACATGTTATTTCATGCTTCAGCATCTTTGTTCATACTCTTCCTCTTCTGTTTGTCCTGAGTGCTTTTCCTTCCTTTCTTTTTCTAGCTAGTTTTTAGTCATCCTTTAAGATTCAGTTCAGGAGTATTCACCTCTAGGAAGTGGCCCTCTATATACAACACCATCTCTGCCTATATCAACTAGTACCTCCTCTTTCCCTACTTCCCCCTCCACCTATATGACCACTGTCACAGCAACTAACGTTATTTAGTGCTTATCTGTGCCAGGGACTTATGCTAACAACTGTATAGTGTACATATTATAAGTAAGGAAATTAAGGACTATCAAGGTTACATTAAGGCTCAGTATATATAGTAAGCATTAAATATTTACTGGACTGATTTATTAGTTTAGAGACATAGCCATCCATAAACTCTTTATCACAAACATGGGCCACTGAATCTCTCTTATCTATTAATGTGGCACTTTTTTTTAATACCAAGAGAACTAAGACCCCAAATGAAGAGAAGACAATAAGATTATTCAATTAATTACTCAATTTGAAAGCTACTAACCATTTGGACCAAGTACTGAAGAATAGTAATATAAAAATATTCTTAAAGGGTATTATTCACCTTATTAAAAATTGGCTCAAAATGGATCACAGACTTAAATATAAGACATAAAAGTATAAAACTTTTAGGAAAAATTAAAGGAAAATCTTCAGGATCTAGAGTTAGGCAAAGACTTCTTAAACTTGACAGTGAAGGCACAATCTATAAAACAAAAATCAATAAATTTGGACTTCATTAAAATTAAGAACTTTTGTTCTGCAAAAGATCCTGTTAATAGGATGAAAAGAAAAGTATAGACTGGGAGAAACTACTTCACATATATGACAAAATCTAGTATCTAAGATATGTAAAGCATCTTTTAAAACTTAATAGTATGGAAAACAAACAATTCAATTAGAAAATGGGTAAAAGACATGAAGAGCCTTTTCATCAAAGAGGATATACGGATGGTTATAAGCACGTAAAAGATGTTCTTGATCTTAGAGGAAAAGCTTTCAGTTTTCCGCCTGTGAGTATGATGTTAGCTACGGGCTTTTCATACACAGAATTTATTAAGTTGAAGTATGTTCCTACTCTACCCAATCTGTTCAGAGTTTTTATTATGAAAAGATGTTGAATTTTGTCAAATGCTTTTCCTGTGTTATTGAGATGATCATAGATATTTATCCTTCATTTTGTTAATGTGGTATATTACATTGATTGATTTGTGGATGTTAAACCATTCTTGCATGCCTGGAATAAATCCCACTTGATTATGATGTATAATCCTTTTAATGTGCTGTTAAATTTGGTTTGCTATTTTGTTGAGGATTTTTGCATCCATGTTCATCAGGGATACTGGCCTGTAATTTTCTGGTCTTACAGTGTTTTTTTTCTGGCTTTAGTACCAGGGTAATGCTGGCTTCATAAAATTAGTTTCGAAGTGTTCCCTCTTCTATTTTTGGAAGAGTTTGGGAAGGATTGACATAATTCTTCTTTAAATATTTATTAAGTTCACCGATGAAACTATCTGGTACGGGTCATTTTTGGTGGGAGGCTTTTGATTACTGATTCAGTATCCTTACTTGCTATTGCTCTGTTCAGATTTTCTGTTTCTTCATGATTCCATCTCAGTAGGTTGTGTGTTTCTAAGAATTTATCCAGTTATTATTAGTTGTCTGATTTGTTGGTATATTTGTAGTAATTCCTTATGATCCTTAGTACTTCTGTGTTACCAGTTGCCATGTCTCCTCTTTCATTTTCAGTTTTACTTATTTGAGTCTTCTCTGTTTTCTTCTTGGTCTAGCTAAAGATGTGTCAATTTTCTACTTTAAAAAACCAAGCTCTTAGTTTTATTGACCTTTTCTATTATTTTCCTAGTCTCTCATTTATTTCTGCTCTGATCTTTGTTATTTCTTTCCTTCTAGTAATGTGGGGTTAGCTTATTCTTCTTTTTCTAGTTCCTTGAGATGTAAAGTTAGGTTATTTAAGATCTTTCTTTTTTCTTAATGTAGACATTTGTTGCTGTAAACTTTTCTCTTAGAACTGCTTTTGATGCATCCCATAAGTTTTAGTATGTTGTGTTTCCATTTTCATTTGTCTCACAATATTTAAAAATTTTCTCTTTCGATTTCTCCTTGACCTATTGGTTGTTTAGGGGCATGTTGTTTAATTTCCACATATGTGAATTTTCTAGTCATAAAAGATGCCTGATATTCTTTCAATCATCTTAAATTTACTAAGACTTGTTTTATGTCCTAACATATGATCTATTCAAGACAATGTTCCATGTTCGCTTGAGAATGTGTATTCTGCTCTTGTTGGATGGAATGTTTTGTTTATGTCTGTTAGGTTCATCTGGTCTAACATGTAGTTTAAGTATAATTTTTCCTTATTGATTTTCTGTCTGGATGATCGCTCCACTGTTGAAAGTGGGGTATTAAAGTCCTCAAGTATTATTGTGTTGTGTGCATTTCTCCCCTCAGATGTGTTAATATTTACTTTATATATTTAGGTGCTCCAATATTGGGTACATAAATATTTTAACATCTTGATGAACTGACTCCATTATTATTATATAATGACCTTCTTTGTCTCTTACAGTTTTTGGCTTAAAGTCTATTTTGTCTGATGTAAGTATAGTTACCTCTGTTTTCTTTTAATTTCCATTTGCATGGAGTATCTTTTTCTACCCCTTCATATTCAGTCTGTGTGTGTCCTTAAAGCTGAAGTGAGTCTCTTGTTTACTATTGTCCTATGAGACTCATGAATGCAAGCACCATTAGCTATCAGAGTCAGCTGATTTGGGGGCCTGTCCCTTGGGTGACAGCCATAAAAGTTAGGGCACTAGATGTGTGGACAAGCTCCTTCCAGGGAGATACTGGCAACTTGGTTGTCTTGTTGGAGCAAGCTGGAGGAGGAAGAAGGCAAGGGAAGTGCCCATTAGTTTTTTGGGGCTCTGGGAGGATCACAGCTAGAGCAACTAGATACATGTTAGTTAAAGCCAGACCCTTGGGCAGCAGCTTGTGAAGCATGTAGTCTAACCCCTTCCAGGGAAAGACTGGGAGATAGACATATTTGTCTGTTCCCTCTGTGCTGGTCCTGCAGGTTGAGGGATGGTAGCAATGTGTTCATGTGCCCAGTAAAATCTGCTTCTTTGTTTGCTACAGTCCTGTGGGACTCATGAATGCAAGCCCTGTAGCTTTCACAGACAGGCGATTTGGAGGCCTACCCCTCAGCTGGCAGCCTTAGTAGGGGCACTTGATGTGTGGTCCAAACCCCAGGGATAAACCGGTAGTTAGGGGTTCCCTCCCAAAAACATGGTGCTGTGCTGGACTAGGGTTTATGGTGAGAATGTGTCTCAGCCTTTCCTACTCATTTTGATGTGGATATTTTCTCAGACAACCAATGAGTCACTCATCTAGTTTCTGAATTCCTTCTCAGAGGGAATTCCTCTATGTGTAACTATACATTTGGTGCATCAAAGGGGAGAAATTCAGGAGTCTCCTATGTTGCCATCTTGGTCCAGAGTCCCAGTAAATTTTTAAATGATAAAATTCAATTCATTGTTGGTGAGGATATAAAGCAATCTAATTTGACTGATGTCCTAGAATTCACATTGGGAAATCTAGCCTGAGAAAAGAATCCTAAATAACAATCCTAAATATAGGGAAAAAAAGTTTCAGGCACAGAGATATTTATAGTAGTTGTGATAATAAAGTTAGAAACAATCAATATATCAGAATTAGGTATGGTTAAATAAACTGTGGCATGTCTAACTGACAGAAATAAAGAATCAGAACATTAAAATGTTGGCAATGATTAAATGTAAGGAATATCTATAGCTAATCATTGTTTTTAGTTTATTTCATGGAGAGAAATAAAGG